ACGGAGTATTACTCGGCAATCAAAAAAAATTAAATCTTGCCATTTGCAACAACGTGGATGGAACTAGAGGGTGTTATGCTAAGCGAAATTAGAGAAAGCTATCATATAACTTCACTCATATGAGGACTTTAACATACAAAACAGATGAACATAAGGGAAGGGAAGCAAAAATAATAAAAGGGAGGGGGACAAACATATAAGAGACTCTTAAATACGGAGAACAAACAGTTACTGAAGGGGCTGTGGGAGGGGGTATGGACTAAATGGGTAAGGGGCATTTAGGAATCTACTCCTGAAATCATTGTTGCACTATATGCTAACTAACTTGCATGTAAATTTTAAAAAGTAAATAAAAATTAAAAAAAAAAAGAGTCTGGGGGTGCCTGGGTGGCTCAGTTGTTAAGCATCTGACTTCGGCTCAGGTCATGATCTCATGGTTCAGGAGTTCGAGTCCCACATCGAGTGAGCTTGAACACCCCCTTCGGGTGAGCCCTGCTTCTCTTTCTCTCTCTCTCTTTCTCTGCCCCTTGCTCACTTGCACCCTCTCTCTCTCTCTCTCTAAAAAAAAAGAGAGAGAGAGAGAATCTAGTAGGGAACAGAGACCAGTGGAAGAAAAGCACAATTTTAATTGCTACCCATTTAATTGTCACAGGTATATGTTCTGCAGTGGCAAAATAACTAATATTAGATATTTACTATAATCAAATAATTTTTAATAATTATGATAACTTGGTTAATGAAGCTTTCATGTTAACAACCTCACAAACTAAAAAAACACTTTATATATTACATGAAGTGATAGTAGGATGTCATCAGGTTTAAAAGCAACATGCCTGCCAACATTCTGTGAGGCTTCTTATTTATCCACATTTGGTAGAAGATAAGCAGGTCTGACCCCAGCCAAGATTGAAATAATAGCACTGTGTCCTTCAAGGCAACCTTTCTTCTATATCCACTGATCTAACCCCAGTCAAAACAAGAAAGCAGGTACTAGCCTTTTGTTATTTGTGTCAAGCTCCCCTGGCCTCCTTTCTCCGTACCTTATTCTTTCTGATGTTCTGCCTTCTTTACCCTTTTGGGCCAGAATGAATTGGGAGCAGTCTGCTAACTCTTTGAATGTGAGGCTCACTTTTAGTACAGGGCACTGAGTAAGCCTATTTCTTTTCTTGTTTAAACATTCCACATCCTTAGGAACTCCCTTGCCCTGTTGTTTTATGGCACATTGGTTATTTTTTTTTTTTTTTGTAGCTAATATATGAACATATTTTCTGCTGATGTAATCACTGTTCTGTGCTCCTGTATGAGCAGGTATCATGACTCTGGGTAATGTGCCTTTCTGTCTTTATCTCAATTTTTAGTAAGTCATTTTGGATTATAAGCATGTTGATTTTTCAGGATTGCTGTATCTCTCATGTCTCAAAACCAGAATAGTAACATATGTCAGAACAGAGCTGTGAGTAGGGAATGATATATATATATATATCACAAAGTCTATATATACTTCACCCATTGGAAGTCTTTTTTGTGTTTCACAGATTTCAGTGAGCTTTTTTTGTTATTGATGTTACCAAGCTTAAGCAAATTTAAAGCAGCAAATTGGAAAGGTGGTGGGGATACCATAAAAACAAAATATACCTTTGAAAACTGAGAATCTGTTGCTAAGGAAAGTATGAAAAAATCATTAAGAGTGTGTGAAGGATGTATGTGTGGAAGGATGTATGAGTCCTTAAAATTTATAACACTGTGAGGCCTTTTAGTGTATAATCTTTGGAGAAAGTTAAGAGGTTAGTCTTTGGAACTGGACAAAAAGGGTGTAAATTTAGCATAATAAGATACAGCATAGTAACAGGGTTTAGAAAGTAGTCGTGTAGACTGAGGATCTCATTATTTTATAGCCTTGAATTATGTTCTGTACACTTCCTAGTGGTTTCTGGGTGGTTAAGATTATAGCTGTTTCTTTTCCTTCTTAATTTCTGTAAGTTTGAATGACTTATTTAAAAAAAACAACAACTTTGGAATCTGAAGGGAGGAATAAAGATCATGGAATTTAAATACAATTTTAGTAATATTTTCATTCAAAATTTTAATTCTTGGAATGATATACACATAGCTCTCCAGAAAACTGAGCTATTCAAAACTACTCAGCCCCCAAAGGACTCAGGCTGAGAGTTGTACATATAGGGTTGGTCCTGACTCCCTTTTTTCTTTTTTTCCTGCATACTAGCGGAAAAAAAATGAGACTCTCAAAACATTATTTAAGCCAATTCTTTTTCTACATAATATTACATCTAAATGAAGAATTACCTGTGTTCCTCTTTTTCTACATAATATTACATCTAAATGGAAAATTATCTGTATACTTTTTAATCTCCAAAGGAAAACAAATAATACTTTGTAGAGTTTCACAGCCCTTATGGTCAAGAAGTTCTGCCAACTGCTGTATTAAAGTGTTCCTGCTCTACTATACTCACTCTTCTCTGTATTTATTTTAATTTTATTTTTTAACATTTATTTTTGAAGAACAGAGAGTGTGGGGGAGGGGGGGGAGGGTAGAAAGGGAGACACAGAATCCAAAGCAGATTCCAGGCTCTGAGCTGTCAGCATAGATCCAGACGTGGGGCTCAAACCCACG